ACACAGGTGCACACAGCAGGTGCACACAGCAAGTACAAACAGCAGGTATACACAGGTGCACACAGCAGGTACAAACAGGAGGTGCACACAGCAGGTGTACACAGCAGGTGTACATAGCAGGTGCAAACAGCAGGTGTGCACAGCAGGTGTACACAGGTGCACAAAGCAGGTGCACAATCAGTAATTCTGGAAGGAGGGAACAGGAAGCAAAGAAGTCAGGCTTTGCCTTCTGCTCTTCAACATGGCCTCTAACGCACATGTGCTAGAAGATTGGAGGGAGGGGCCAATGAAGGACGCAAATCTCACCCCAACCAGAGATACAAATCTTACTCTAACTCCCAGTATAAAGAGAAGACCCATTACCTCATAGTAGGTGTGTGAGACTCAGGATCAGTTGTGTTCAAAGCAGCCTCCAGGGACAGGGTGCCCAGGCTAGCCCTGCTGCCCTTCCGGGAGGAGTTCTGGAAGGAGCCAGCGCCAGGGTCCTCGTCAGAGGAGTTGTCATCCAGGGAGCCCAGGATAAAGCTGGTCATCAGCTGCCTCTTGATGTGTGCCTGCTTCTTGTCCTCTCTGGAGGGGGATACGGTTCTCTGGCTCGGAGGCCTGGTTGGGAAGGACAATCCATTGGCATCTGGAACCTCTGAGCCGGGGGTTGCTATCCAGTTGGTTTGGAGTTCTGGGGAGGGCCAGGCGTCATTGGAAGACAGTGGGTTCCTCGGAGGCTTCTGGTACGAGCTTGGCGTGGAGTTCTGCTGACTGGCATCTCTGGGACCTCTGTGGGAGGCCGGCTCCTCCCGGTCAGGAGCTGACGACAGACAGCTGCAGACGCCATGGTCCTGTAGCTGCTCCTCTGATGGCTCTGAGGCTGAAAGGGACCCCTCACTTGAAAGGAGGCTCGCTTCCATCTTACTGTTGGTGAGTGGCTTCGAGTCTGTCATCTTCCTCCAGATTTTTAACCAGGAAAAGGTCAGGCAGGAGAAAACCAGGCAAGTCAGAAAGAGAAGCAAGACCATTCAGACTGCCTGTCAAGGGAAGAGAGAATTTATAGTTATGATCAACAGACTTCTAACACAGCACGTGGGGCAAGGCTATTGGGGTCCCTTGTACTGGAGGAAGTACAATGAGGAGAGATGGGGTTCTCCTGACCTCAGCGCTTCCCGTGCCCGTGGCCCAGGGCATGTTGCTAAGCTAGATGTGGGTATATGCTGTGGGGTGAATGTATGATCCCAGAGTTCTTTTGTGATCCTAAGTGAAACGGTGCCAGGAAGCAAGCAGGAAAAACATGGCCGAGGGGGAGGGTCTGCTGTCACAGGGTGGGTCTCTTGCTCTCTTGCCTGTCTGCCTCCACCACGCAATGAGGCACAGAAGATTCTCATTAAACACAAGTTTTTCAACCTTGGTCTTCCCAGACTCAAACCAGGAATGGAGGATAGACTCTTGGGGCTGGAGAGATGGCTCAGCAGCTCAGAGCACTGGCTGCTCTTGCAGAAGACCTGGCTCCAATTCCTAGTGCCTGCATGGCACCTCACAATCATCTCTAATTCCAGTTCCAGGAGGTCCCATGCCCTCCTCTGACCTCAGAAGGTGCCGGGCATACATGTGGTACACGTGCAGGCAAGACATTCGTACGAATAAAATAAAAATAAACAGATCAGGGGAGAGACATCAGGCCACAATCCGACACAAAGAATTACAGGCAGCTAAGGATTCTGGGAACAGGAGAAACAATCTTCCTGGGGGAAGAGCATGCCAAATGATCAGCCCTGAAAACACACACAACATTAGACAGACTGAATAGGTTGTATGTAGTTATTTAGGAATACACACACACACACACACACACACA